CATAACACGTAATTATTGATACAACACAATAATTAATGAAAACTTACGGTATTACAACACGAGTTGAAAATATCATTTATTAATTAAATTCTAATATTCTTTTCTCGCGTATATCTAAAACACCAAATATATATATATATATATATATATATATATAATAAGTAGAATATATAAATGTCTTAAGCTTTTTTTTAGGGTAAACATTATTTTACCTTTTCACAAACATAGCCAATAAAAATTAGAACAATAAATATATTAATGGTGAAAGAAATTATATAAGAAAATACAACTAATAAAAACATTAAAAAAAATAAGATAATTATAACCTTTTTTTATCAAATTATTGATGTGAACTATACATGTCATGAGTAAAATTTAACTAACTACTTTTAGTAAAAAATTTGTTTATAAGGAGACTTTTGTTACGGATTACAAACTTATTTTCGAGAATGTAAATATGGAAATATAACATTTTTATATTTGTTAAAATTTTTGAAAAATTCTTCTAGAACATTATTCATTCTCGGAAAAATTTGCCTATCATTTTTCTACATTTTTATTCCTATGTTGAGGGGTAGAAAAATGATATTCTCATAAAAACTTGAGAAATTATATTTTAACACACTTGTAACTTCCTTTTTTTATTTAAATTATTTTCAATTTTAAAAATATTCTAAGGAATATTAGGATGCAACCAAATACGTTTTCTAAATATGTTCCGAAGTAAAATTCTAACTAAAATACTTTTAAGAATATATTTCTTAGAAATAAAGTTATAATCCATGAAACAAATTCCTCCTTCTTACATTTTTATTGTCTACAAGGCTCATTATTGTGTCTGTAAAATATGTCTCTCATTAGTGTACATGTTAAGGTAATTTTGAAAAGAAAAATATATATGTATATATATATAGGAAGATAAATTTATAATCATTCTTTTGTTGAATGGTATTCTATTTTAATCACAATAATTTATTGGGGCTTGTCACTAATTACGTTCAATTTCTCGTCAAAGGGCTGTGATGCTTCTGTGCTTCTTGATGATACACGATATTTCACAGGGGAAAAGAATGCTTTACCTAATCGTAATTCACTTCGCGGATTTGAAGTGATTGATAACATAAAAGATCTCGTTGAAAGGCAATGTCCATCAACAGTCTCCTGCGCTGATATATTAACCTTAGCCGCTAGGGAAGCTATTGATCTGGTAAAACTGACACTAATTCTTTTATATTATTGTACACAAGTTGTCTCAGCTGAAAGTTTATTAATTAATTAACCTATTTCATGTTACCAACTTTGTTGCTGTTTTTTGGGGGATTTTAGGTTGGTGGGCCTTCTTGGCCTGTTGCATTAGGCCGAAGAGATGCAGTAACAACCAGTCAGACTGCAGCTGATCAACAAATTCCCTCACCAATCGAACCTCTAGAAAACATCATTGCAAAATTTGTTTCAAAGGGTCTTGAAATAAGGGATGTTGTAGCCCTTTCAGGTTCTTAGTCTTTTCTCATTTTTCTCTAATATGATTTTGAATATATCATTCTAAGAATCTATTCATATACAAATTAAAAAGATTTTTTTTTTTAGTCTTTCTACTAAAAATAAAAAAGTTTCCTTTAGTTAAGAATGCTTTTAAATTTACTTTTCAATTGTATCCAATTAAACTCTAATTCTAGGAAGTGATGGAAGCTAACATACACTTTCCTCAATTATTTGAACCTTTATTTAGTACATGCATGGCATGAGTAACTTAATGTGTCTATTTTCATCAGGAGGACACACAATTGGTTTTGCTCAATGCTTCACATTCAAAAGGAGACTTTTTGACTTTAAAGGCTCTGGCAGACCTGATCCCTTGCTTGACAATTTTCTTCTCTCAAAATTACAAAATATATGTCCAAACAGAGACGCTTCAAACAGAAATTTAGCACCTCTTGATGCTACAACTAATTTGATGTTCGACAATGAATATTATAGAAATCTCGTATATAACACAGGGCTGCTAGAATCTGACCAGGCATTAATTATGGATCGAAGGACTTCTGGTTTGGTTTATTATTACAGCAACAACCAAAATTCCTTCTATAATGATTTTGCCGAATCCATGGTGAAGCTTAGTAATGTGGGAGTACTTACAGGAATGAAAGGGCAAATTAGAAAGAAATGTGGCTCAGTAAACTAAGAACTTCTTAGAAGAATCTCAATAATGTAATTAAAAAAGTCATTTGAAGCCAGAATACTATCCTGTGTGTATATTATGAATGTGTTTAGATATAAGTGTAGAAGTGATTTTGAAACTTTTTTTTTAGAAAATAAAGGATGTTTTCTAATAAAAAAAGTTTTCAAACAAACACTAATGTCTTATATCTAAACAGATTTTATATTAGTCATCATCATTTATAGATGGTGGCAATATCCCCAAACCAGAAGTGTTCAGATTAGCCATGTTAACTTTTATGTCAAGATCATCATTATGTAGAAATATGAAACCTTGATGCCATAGCTCAAAAAATAACTGGTTTCTGCAGTCATATACCGCAGTCGCAGATCTCTAGCTTTGATGATCTTACTGTTTATATATGTTTTTGCCAAGTTTGTAGACTACTTAATAATTGTCAATTTCTAATAAATTGATATACTTTACCCATTTTATGAATGCGTATTGTGTAAGATACTAAGATCTAGGTTGACATTCCTCCAAGATCAATTTTCTTATTAACAGGCTTAATCACATATCAAATTAATAGTATGTTTAGATGGTGAATTTAAATAGAATAATTCATTTATTTGATGAATTTTAAATTTTTTAAAGTGAAATATCTTGTTTAGATGGAGAATTTACAAGAAATTTAAAATTTAAGCATTTATAAAATTATTTGAAATAGTAGAATTTCAAATTCTCCCAAAAAAGTAAGAATTTGAAATTTCTCATATTTTTTTCTTTTTATTTCACTTATATATTTTATCTTATCTCTTATCTCTTCATATTTTTAATTATTGAATATTTAAAAATATTTTTAAAATTTTTAAATATTATATAATATTAATTTTTTTAAATTATTAAATATTTAAAAATTGATTAATATTTATTTAAAAATCTCAACATATAAATATATTTTTAAAATTAATTTTATCATGGTGGAATCAAATTATCATATCCAACCCAACAATTTAAAATTTGAAAATTTTAAATTAACTTATCCAAACAAAATATTTTAAAAATAATAGAAATTAAAATCAAAATAATTCAAATACCAAAAATTTAAAATTTTTTAAATTTGTAACATTTCTCATCCAAACACCGTAAGGCTTTGCTTATAAAATTAGTATTTAGTACAGTCAAGTTTAATAGTTTATACATGTACCTGCTCAATGATACACTCGTAGTCTTCTTTGTAAGAAGGGCCGAACGGATACTTCAAACGGGTTCGTCAGAGGGGGGAGGTACCTGCAAAAGGTACTCCGACGCTCAAGTCAGGACAAGCACGATATTCTAGGATAATTAATGAACAGTGACATACCTTGTTATGTGTGACCTATTTATAGTATCTGACATGGGCCTGAGCGTGATGGGTCCTCTCAGATATTTACCAAATTAGGTAATACGGTACTAATTGGTTGTTAGGCTTTAATCATGTACTTACCTTTCTTAATTGTGATTACTGTTATAACTTGTTTAACCCTTCGGCAAGAGGCCGAGCCGACTATTCAATACTAGTCGGAACGGCAAATGACCGAGCCGTCTAGTCTGTATACGGCAGCTTGTATACTTCCGGTTTGACCTATGTCGGAACGGTACTTGACCGAGCCGACTCGATGAGTGATGATGGTCCATATTGGCATTAACCAGACTGATGTCGGCTCTCGGCCTCATGCCGAGCCGACGTTGATGGTAATGCTTGTACGTGGCTTACTATGCATGAGTGTCTGACGAAATGGCACGTGTTGGCCCACGTGACCGATACGGTCTCTCCGGTACGATACATATTCACACTTTACTGTATTTGTAATGGGTGGATGATGATTGGACAGTTCAAATTTTACAGATGTATTTAACTTGGATTTATGAAATAAAATATGAGTAGTATAATTTTTATTTTACGGCTCCAAATTGTTAAATGCATAAGCAGGGAAAAAATTGATTGCGGGGAATCCGTTGTAACTCTCGCGATGAGAGCATCTGCAAAACATTAATCAGTGATACGTACTGTCCAGCGAATGCACCTGTTGTAACGGTAAAATAAATATAGACGCGACAGCCATATTAACAAAGGAAAAAATATATTTGTACACATCTTCTTCCTCGTCTTCTTATTATTATTATTATTATTATTTTTGAGAGGTATTATTATTATTATTATTAGATAATTAATAATTAATATTTAATTTTTTTATAGAGGTAAGATATTAATTTTAATTTAATTTTTTTATCATAAAAAAGTACTAGACAAATTAAGACTTAACAAAAATTACACTCATCATCAAAGTAATAAAATTTAATTGTAAAGGACAAGTCTCAAATATTACAAAAAGATCTGAACAAGAAAAATTTTGTTTAAATATTCAATAAACATATTGATTTTCCAGAATTATTAATTTAATATAATTGATAATATGATGATAAGAAAATAAAAATAAAAATAAAATTAAAAAAGGAGTTTCAATCGGAAATTAGTCCTTTTCGGTGCCTATATATTAATACTCATTAATATAAATAAAACTGGTACCCAGTGAAATAATTATAAATTGTCCCTCCATTTTAAGTAGAGAAAAGAAAAATTAATACAGTAAATACAAAAAGAAAAGGAGAGAAAAAATGATAAAATTTAATGTGATGTGACAGAAAGGTAAATAAATAAGAAAAAAAAATTAAGTGAAAGTGAATTATAAAAAAAAAGGATATATATTTGTAAATACACATTATAAAGGAGCTGTTATTTGAAATTAAGATTCTCTTCATTCTTTTTATTATATTATAATTTTGGAGATATATAAATGATATTATATATATATATATAGAAGAGGGTTCAAACGACACCAGTATAACTTTTATTAAGTATTATACCGCTCAATAATTTTAATTAAATATGAATTTTATAAATTTAATCGTCAGATTGAAAGTTCTTTAGTCTTAGATCATATATACAAAATTTTATATTAATCCAAGATGATTTGATACTTCATTCTTATAAAATAAAATTGATTTAATATATATATTTCAAAATATAATAAAATATGAACACTTTGATTACTTTCAAGTTGTTGTTCAATTTTAATAAAATTTGATATACACATATAAAAGTTATATGAACTTTCAATCTAACAATTGAATTTATAAAATTCACAGTTAATATAAAATTATTAAATAGTGTAATACTTAGTAAAAATTATACTAGTATCGTTTGAACCTTCCTTTTATATATATATATATATATAAAAACACATCATATATATATATATATATATATATTATTGAAGAATATAATTAATTTTTGAAAAGCATAGTAACCGGAAAAAAGAAATTTGGAAAGAAAGATTGAGACGATTTTTCCTGTTACATGCAACTTTGACTCTTTGAGTACGTAGTTATCATGTCTCAGTGGTTGATATTTACTATGAATATATTCCACTGTGGTTCCTGTCCATGATCAAGTGGTGTTATCCCTTTTATTCCACTTGAATAATTAAATTATATGTATTGCGCATACGGAAGGGCATCTACATCTTTTAATCTTACACAGGTCCCTTTCATCTGATGCAGATTTGCAATATAAGCATGATAACTATCTCCTTTTTGTTTACGTCAAAACCTGTTTTATAACCCGTAAAACTAAGTCGTTTAAGGGATTTGATACCTAAGGTTCTTCACTTATATTACATGTCATGACCAATACCTAAGGTCCCTACATTACATGGGTTCCACGCTTTTTTATTTTTTATGTTAACTTAAGTTCTAAAATTTAGTTTGACATCATATCTAACTTGTGCTTATATTGCTAATTTTTCCTGGTACTTGCTATGTAGACAGAAGTATTGTTAGACTATGTAAACCAAAATGTTAAAATTTTACAGAAGTCTAAAACAAAACAAAGTAGAGAATAGTCTGTATACGAAACTATTGTGCACAGGGATAACTGTGTGTATATAAATTTATGTTCATTTTTTTATTTGAATGATGTGAGACTTTGTTTGCATCTCAATAAAAACATGAGAGGTGAACAGAGGATTTTGTTAATCTGTCATAATTCTTATTTTATAATGTATATAATATGTGCATTTAATGTCTATAATTAGATTATTTAATTATAGAAATTAAAATAATTTTGTTATTAGTGTCTTTTATAGCCGTAAGTGTCTATGTAATATTTAAATATTGTATCAGTTGATTCTTGATTAGACCTGTAATTCCTTGAACGACACCTCTTTGGTAGCTCTCGCTTTTGGCTTTTTTGGTCTTCCACCTAGTTCTTGCGTTGTTGGTTGGCGGTTTGTTTTTAGGGACACATTTCACATTTGTGGGTATTGTTTCTAGTTCGCGGGTCTCTTTTTTGTTAGTGATTCTTGTTACTAGTTCTTGGGTCTCGTTTTTATCGCAGTTTCATGTTTTAGACAATTTTTGTGCTTGCTTTATTGACAAAAAAAAGCTATATATGTTGCCTGGGCATTTCAATTTTCAATGTTTGTGAAAGGGAAAGGACTATTGGATCATCTCGATGGAACTTCTACTGCATCCACTGCGTTGGTTACATGGGAAACTAAGGACATGCAAGTTATTTCTTGAATTCTTGCCTCTATTGAATCTCAAATAGTTAATAATTTGCGGTCCTTAATAAAATAAAATGGAATTCTGTATCCGTTTATTCATCCTCTCAAACGGGTATATAACCAAATATATCGCTGTACACTTGGTGCATTATTTCCATTATTTCCTACCTACATATCCGCTAAGAACATTTCGTGCATTATTTCCATTATTTCCTACCTACAAATCTGCTAGGAATATTATATACATGATTCTCGTTCACGGATTGTCCAAGATGATAGGCTAATATCATAATATTCAGCAAACTATTAGCTATCAGCCTAATACCCTCCCCTAAGTTGGTGCATGCAAATTTTGGATGGCGATTCCTTGCGTGCCCTTTGTGAGTAGAGGGTTTTGGTGCCCTCTGTACGGACAGCGAATCAGGTGATGTCACGTGTTCCTTTACTCCATGTCATCTAGCGTGTTGAAAGTTTGACCAGAAATTGGGTAATTGGATCTGATCCGCCCCTGCACCATGATCCAACAAACCAACCTGGGTCCCTAGAATCATTTTGAAAATTTGGATTCTAGGGGATTAATTCCGACGAGGAAAATGTCATGTCCTTATAAATTGAATTGGGAGAATGGGTATCAAAGCACACCACCCTCAACGCCGACAACGCCGGCGGCAGCCTCATCCTCCGCGCCCCCACCTCCGGCGGCGGCGACGGCCA